GAGTGGCCACCCACCCGCCGGCTAAAGTGGAGATAATGAGCAACTCTCAGCCCGTGGACACTATTTTGAAGCGTTCGCGTCGAGCCATCGGATTGATTATAGCTGCCATTCTTGGACTTGCTGCTGTAACTGCTACCGCTACTGTTGCCAGAGCGGCTCTACATCAGGGCGTCCAAACTGCAGAGTTCGTTCAGAACTGGCTTCGGGATTCATATCTATTATGGCAACAAGAATTGGACTCTCAAATGGCAGTGGACATTCAAAACGTAAACTGTTGAGTGGTTGGGAGATCAGATTTCTGTGCTTCCCACAAAATCTATGTTAAAATGCGACTGGAACTCTTCCCATATTTGTGTCACTCCCTTGCTTTACAATGTATCAGAGGGTTGGGATAAGATTAAGAGAACATTAATAGGTCATGCTAATCTGACCAATGAAATTCGAGCTCTAGAGAAAGAAACTGAAAATACTTATAGCAACAATTTACCATCTCTCACAGGGGGTGATATTTTAGAAAGCTTGGCTGATGGAATAGCAAATTTAAATCCCTTTGGACAAATTAAGACTCTTGTAAGCACTACTCTTAGTAATACCACTGTTTTACTTATAATTTTGTTTATTGCTCTTCTAGTCTTCTATTGATGGTCCCAGCAGCAAGCAGTAGATAACAACAATCAAAATATGCTGTCAACCTTACAGCATGTAACATTTCAAATAAAATAAAAAAGGGGGAAATGTAGATTGCATGTGAGTTTATTCCGCACACGGATGGACTCACACAAGGGTTATCAAGGATATTCTGCACACAGATGCCTTGGAGTGTTGCTTAATTCTTAAGAACAATTCAGAGTGTGTCCTGCACACAGGCTCACTCCTCCTGCCTGCAAACAGGAAGGACCAGATATTCTTTTTGTTCCCGAGGAATATCCATCTCATAATTCTTTTATATCTTTATTGTTGAATGTATTACAGATGTTCCTCATTTTTCCCCCATTGACCCCCTCCCTCCCACTCCTGCCCCCCTCCTGCCTTTTCCCACACTGTTGTCTGTGTCCATTGGTTATGCACATATGCATATAAGTTCTTTGGTTTATTTTTTCCCACCTCCCAAACCACCCTTCCCTTTGAGGTTTGTCAGTCTAGCAACTAATTTGTTCTTCTTAATCCCTTCACCTTTTTCACCCATTCCTCCAACCACCCTCCCATCTGGCAACCAACAAAATGTTCTCTGTATCAATGAGAATGTTTCTGTTCTGCCTGTTCATTTTGTTTGTAGATTCCATTGTCAGTAGATATGTATTCATTGCCATTTTATTCGTTCATATATTTTATCTTTCTCTTCAAAAAGACCCTGCAACATTTCATATAATAATGGTTTGGTGGTGACGAACTCCTTTAACTTTTTGTCTGGGAAACTCTTTATATGGCCATTGATTCTAAATGACAGCTTTGCAGGATAGTGTAATCTTGGTTGTAGGTTGTTTTTCATCACTCTGAATATTTCTTGCCACTCCCTTCTGGCCTGCAAAGTTTCTTTTGAGAAATCAGCTGACAGTCTTATGGGAAGTCCCTTGTAGGTAACTAACTGCTTTTCTCTTGCTGCTTTTTAAGAGTCTCTCTGTCTTGAAACTTTTGCATTTTGATGATGATGTGTCTTGGTGTGGGCCTCTTGGGGTTCATCTTGTTTGGGACTCTGTGCTTACTGGACTTGTATGCCTGTTTCCTTCACCAAGTTAGGAAAGTTTTCTGCTATTATTTCAAATAGGTTTTCGATTTCTTGTTCTCTCTCTTCTCCTTCTGGCACCCCCAAGATGCGAATGTTGGCACGCTTGAAGTTGTCCCACAGGCTCCTTACACTATCCTCATGTTTTTGGCTTCTTTTTTCTTTTTGCTGTTCTGATTGGGTGTTTTTTGCTTCCTTGTATTCCAAATAGATGGTTTGCTTCTTAGCTTTACCTACTCTACTACTGAATCTGTGTAAATTATTCTTTATTTCAGTTAGTGCCTCCTTCATTTCTGACTGGTCCTTTTTTATGCTCTTGAGGCCCTCAGTAAGTTTGCTGAGGTTCTCTCTAAGTTCATTGAACATCTTTATAAGCAGTATTTTAAACTCAGCATCTGTTAGGTTGCTTATCTCCATTTCGCTTAGTTCTTTTATTGGGGTTTTGTTCTGTTCTTTCATTTGGGACCTGTTTCTTTGTCTTCTCATTTTGGCTGCCTCCCTGTGTTTGTTTCTGTGTATTACTTAACGGGAGGTATGGGGCTTGCTGAGACCAGATGCTGCTCTTTTGAAAGAATTTAGGAAAACCTGAAGCAGGATCCAAGACAGGCCAATCCTATGGTTAAGCAAGTGGCAACAGCTTGGGTGGGCCTGAAAGTTGGGTGGGGCGGGGCCTCCGGGTATCACCAGGGTGGGGCAACCAGTGTGGGCCAGGTTGCTGGAGTCCCAGATATGGCGGCTGTCTGCTGCCCGAGGGAAGGGCTCACCAAGGGAACAAAGGCCTCTGACAGCACATTTGTCCCAGAGAAAGCCCCCCTCCAGCTCTCGCTCCAGTGCCAAACAGCTCAGTTCTTCCCTGTGTCTCTGGTGCCCTTGGAGCTGCCTCCCTTCCAAGCTTAGAGGGAGTGAGTCTGATAAGTCCGTGCGCGGGCCCTTTAAGGAGCTGCCTGGGGCTCCAGCCGCCTCAGCCTCCCTCAGCCTCAGTTCCCGCTGGTTTTTCCAGCCAGAAGTTATGGGGATTCTCTTCCTGGCACTGGAACCCTGAGCGGGGTGCCTGGTGTGGGATGGGGACCCCTCAGTCCTCTGGGAGGACCTTCCCAGCCGCAGGATCCTCCTGATTTTTATCCGCCACACGTGGGTGTGGGACCAGCCCATCCGCCTCTGCCCTCCTACCAGTCTCAATTCCGTAGTTGTAAGACTTCCATTCAGCTAGATGTCAGGTGGTTCTGAATGATGGTTGTTCTGTAGTTTAGTTGTAACTTTGATGTGATTGTGGGAGGACGTGATACTGTGTTTGCCTACACCGCCATTTTGACTGGAAGTCGACTAGATATCCTTAAGAGCAGCACTGACCTTTGAGCGGGGGTTAAGAACCAGCAGAAGAGATAGTTAGATTAGTTATCTTGAAAGGAACTGGGACCACGGCCTATCTCCTTGGCTATAAAAATAAACGGGTTGCAGGACTTCGGGCTGCAGTCTTGTCTGTCTCTGTGTGTGTTTGTGTCTCTTGTTCATTTTGCAGACCCTCAGCGCAACACTCATGACCATTCTACAAAGCAGGAATTACTGCCCCAATTTATAGGTTCAGAAAGGTTAAGTAACTTTTCCAATATCAAACAGCTGAAAATGGAACCCAGGTCTAGTAGCAATGCCCAAAGGTTACTTAATACTAACTTCTCCCCCTTTTTTTTTTATCCTCACCCGAGGACATTTTTCCATTTTTTGTTCAGATAGAGCCGGAGGGAGAGAGAGGAACAGAGAGAGAGAGAGAAACATCGACGTGAAAGGGACACATCGAGTGGCTGCCACCCACACGACCAACCAGGGCCAGGGACAAACTGCAACCAAGGTACATGCCCTTAGCGGGAACGGAACCCGGGTCTCTCTGTACCGCAGGCTGACGCTCCAACCGCTGAGCCAAACCGGCCAGGGCTAACTTCTCCCTTTTATATCATGTTCCACTGAATTTTTTAAATTGCCGTGAAATATAATTTAATTCCTGTCTTAGTGCATAGGCAGGCAGACCATGTTTGGGTCTGAAGGCTCCAGACCTCCCAGGCCTTAGGGCCCACCACACAGGCCAACTGTGGCCACACACACACACACACACACACGAGACCATCCTGAATGGCCTTTGTTTTGTTTTTAACAACCCAAGCCATCATCTCACTTTCTTATGATTTACCTTTTTCCTTAAAATTCAGATATTATGGTAAAGCTCAAAGGGCTAATTACTCTGATCCAGTAATTTCCTAAAAAACACTCATCTAACATTTTTTAATGTGCCAAGGACAATAATAGGTAGCTCATAAGAAAGGAAACATAAATTGTCTGAATTTTTTAAAATGTTCATTCATTCATTCATTCATTCATTCATTCAAGAAATGCAAATTAAAACCATAGAGACATCATTTTCCACCTGTTAGGCTGGCAAAACCACAAAGCTCCTTAAAGCACACAAAGCTCCCACACACCGGTGACTGTGACAACTGGAACAACCTCCTCTGAAGAGAGCGATTCAGCAAGCTGTCATTGGTGCACACACTCTGACTCAGGAGTCGCACTTCTGGGAACTCATCCTTCAGTTGCAAATGAAAAATAACTCGCGTGTGCCATTTACTGCAGCAGTGGTTGCAATTGCAAAGAATTAGAAACAACCAAAATATCCCTTCATCAAAAGGGGTCTGGTTAAATGGATCATGCAACCCTAAACAAGAACAGGGACACTTTCAGTGGCTAGGAAACTCATCAAAATTCTGTAAGGGAAAGAACAGAAAATACACAAGAAACTGATGATCAAGTCAGCTTCTAGGAAGGGGAGGTGGGTAGCTTGGGTGGGAGACTTCACTGTATACTCTTCAGTATACTCTTTTAAATTTTGAACCATGTGAAATACCAGTTATTCATAAAAACAAAACTAAAATACTTATACATATTGAAGCCTTCCTTGTTACTGAAGTTCCTGGCTTAGCTCCAGCTGAGTTACTGTAGTCTCTCCTGCAGTACATCCTGCCTCATATGGCACTCTAGCATAAAAACATGGACCTTGTGAACCAGTGACTACATCAAGTGGGGATTCTGCCAGTTCAGGAAAGGGAAAAATGCTTAGGCCAACCAGGCCCGCACTTCCTTCCTCTGTCCACAGGTGGTGCTATGAGGCCTGCTGCTCTGGACAGATGGCAGTGGCTTGGGGAGCACCCTGAAGCCTCACACCAAGAGGCAAAGACACAGGCAGGCACAAGTAGGTAACATAAAATAGAAACTAATTTTATTTCTCTGGAAGAAGCAGGTATCCATAGCTAGGGCAGCAACTTTGGTGACAGAGGCTGGTAGGAACACAGGGAACAGCACAGGGGAAGAGCTGGGTCAGAGCAAGCCCTAGTAACCCTCCAGGGTAACTACCCCCTTGGTCTCCTTCCAACCCTGGGGCCATGGGCCCTGGTCCCTGCCAGGGAACTATCTGGCACCTATGCCCTGCTTCTTGAGCCACCGCAGGCTATTTCCAGGCATTCAATCCTGAGACCAGCCAAGTCCCAAAACACTCTCCATGGCAAGGCCACAAGTCACATCCTGTCTGACACCCCAACTGTCAGCCAGGGGCTCTCTGGAGAAGGGCCCAGCCCTGTGCTGGTCTACCTTTCAGTGTGGCCAACACATTCTCCCGGCCCAGGGTCAAGCCTGGCTTTCCCGTTGGCAGGACTTGGGGACACACTCCAGCAGCAGGCCCTACCAGGGTGGATGAAGCCAGAGGCAAATCAGCCGCAGGGCCTGCTGAGGCCACCCTCAGGCCTGTCTTCACCAGCAACTTACTGCACTTTGGCTTGGGGCACCGTGGGCCAAACCGAAGTTGCAGGGACAGTGTTGGGTGAGGGAGGGACAGGCAAGGCAGGGCTCTCAGCCTCCTGCTGCCTTGGCCTCGCTCTGCCAGTAGGAACAGTAGGTGGCAGCAGGTACTCCAGGTCTGGGATGGGCATCTTCCCATGCTTGTCAGATGGACAGGCTCAAGTGATTCCTTCAGGGCAGACCCTCCGGCACTCCAGACATCTCAGCGCCTAAAGGAGGGGTAACAACCAGAAAGCCTTTCTATCAACAGGGGCCGGTGCAACAGAGTACAGAATGTCCTGTGTGGCAGAGCCTCTGCGCCAGGCAAATCTGGTGAAAACTGGTAGTTCTGGGCAATAATTCTGGAACTTATCATCCTGGATCCCTTTTTTCTTTATTTTATTTTATTTTATTTTTTTTATCCTCACCCAAGGACATTTTTCCATTTTTTGTTCAGATAGAGTGGGAGGGAAAGAGAAAGAGAAAGAGAGAAAAACATCAACGTGAAAGGGACACATCGAGTGGCTGCCTCCCGCATGACCCAACCAGGGCTGGGGACAAACTGCAACCGAGGTTCGCACCCTTAGCGGGAACCGAACCCGGGTCTCTCTGGACCGCAGGCCGACGCTCTAACCGCTGAGCCGAACCGGCCAGGGTCCTTTTTTTCTTTAAAGAATAAAAAATAAAAGACCAGCAGAATTGTGTATTACAGTATCCAAGAGTGATAGGGGCAGTAAATTGGATTCCAATTAGTAAGAGTTGACCAATGGTGCCACATGTGCCAGACACGTGCTGTGAAGTGTGACAGACACATCCTCCCTAATTCTTCCAGTCATGTCTGGGAGGTGGCCGTGCCATTCACACACAGATGAGGACCTGGAGAGAGGGGGCGTGTGAGTAAGCCAATGCTGCGCATGGGGTGCTGGGCTCTAACCTGGATTGTGCCGCCACAGAACAACTGCTCTGAACCCCCACCGAGCCCACCAGTGCCTCTCCCGGGATGATGCTGGGATTTACCCATTCACTCCTTTTTGACTTGCTAATAACTTTCATACATATATTTATACTATATGTCATTGTATGTTACTTTTATAACTATTATTTTGTTATATATATGTATATATTTATACTTATTACAGAAAAGTAATGGATTTTTTTGGTTAGACATTCCTTTAAAAAGGCATTAAACACTAAGTGTTACTTTAAACTATGAAATGCAGAGGTGAAAAATTTTTTGTTTGTTTTGTGTTCAGATAGAGTGGGAGGGAGAGAGAGGAAGAGAGAGAGAGAAACATCGACGTGAAAGGGACACATCGAGTGGCTGCCACCCGCACGACCCAACCAGGGCCGAAGACAAACTGCAACCGAGGTACATGACCTTAGCGGGAACTGAACACGGGTCTCTCTGGACCGCAGGCCGACGCTCTAACCGCTGAGCCAAACCGGCCAGGGCCCGAGCTGAGAAATTTATTCAAATTGTTGGGTCCTGAAGTGCTGCTCCCTGGAGGCTGCTCAGGGTGCTGGGGGGAGCTAGGGAAACAAGCCCCCGTAACCAGAGAGGCTTCCTCTGCCTTTTTTACTCATTAGTTCATTAAAACCATGTGGCTAAAAGTCTAAGTAAATGCACTTAGAGGAAACTGCTTTTACCCCAAACTATCTGAGTCCCGGGACTGGGGCCCATCTTGCCTGCTTCTAGCTGGGAGCCTTGTCTCTCTGGCTGTGTGGCCTGCAGAGGTGCTGGGCTTTGTGCTAGAATGGTGTGCTCCAGGACACCCCTCTGGGGACAGGACAGTGGCAGGGTGTGGGGCTCACTCACTTGTGGTGGGCAGGGCCACAGGAGCCCAGAAGGTGGCAGCCGGCTTGCTCCAAGTTCCAGTCGAACATCTCCAGCACTTTATGGCACTCGCCTCGCGGCCGTAGGCCCAACCCAAAGAGCTGCTCCACCTGAGGAGCAGAGGGTGGTGCCGTGGGCACACTGGGGCCAAGGGCACTGGACAAGGGTGGGGGCAGAGGAATCAGGGGGGAGGGTAAGGAGTGGGAGAGAGCAGCAGAACCAGTCTTCAGGGTCCCTGAAAACCAGAGTGGGCAGGAGGTGGTGGTACCTTCAGATACTGGGCAGCCCTGTGCAGGTTCCAGCTGTGGCTCTGCAGGGCCGCCTGGCACTCCTCTGTGGTCACCCCGTGCACCATGGCCTGCAGCTGGGCATACCCACCCACCTGTCAGCACCAGCTGGGCCCAGTCCTCTGAGGCCCTGGGGCCCCTGCCCTTCCTCACCCGACAGCCAGGCTTGGTACTCACCATCTGGATCTTATCTGTTGGCCGTCCAGCCTCTGGCCCGTCCCCAGAGCAGCCCCTCTGTGGCAGCCAAGCAGTGGCCCTCAGGGCTGGTGGCCGGACCCCTGGATTGCTGTTGTTGGTGGAGAAGTTGGCCTTGGGGTCTGGGGCAGCCTGAGGCATGGGTCGAACAGTGGCCGTGGGGGCAGCAGGGGCTGGGGTGCTGGGTGGGGGCAGCAAGGGTACAGGCAAGGGGGCCGGTTCTTCAGGACTCTGTGTCTCACGCAGGAAGCGCTGGTAGCGCTCCAGGTAGGGTGGGCGCTCAGGCAGCAGGTAGTAGTGGGTGCTGCTGACCTTCTTGCCATCACGGACAATGGGCAGGATGCAGGGACCAGCCCGTGGGCCAGGTGCTTGGATCACCTGGGGTGTGGCGTACTTGGGGTCTGAGGCAAAGCTTTGGGTGGTGGGCATGGTCTTCCCAGGTGAACTTGAGAGCCGGGGTTGCAACGGGGAGCTGCCACGTGGCACCAGGGGACTGGGGGTCCTTGAGCCTTGAGGGGACAGGGGCTCCCGGGGAGGCACCTGGGGAGGGGAGGCAGGTCCAGGCCACCGCCCCATCTCCTCCTCACCTGAGGGAGCTGGAGACAGCTCACCGCGTGGGCGCGTGGGCCTCGGGGGGATAGGCACCCGAGGCGGCACCTGGGGCTTGTCATCGCCCACTGGGATGGGTGAGGGGACCAGCGAGCTGGCCGGGACCTGCAGCTGCCGCATGCACTCCTGCTGCAGGGCCTGGAAGATCTCTGCAGTCTGGGCCAAGGTGGGCAGCTTGCTCCCACCCTGAGGTGGGAGGAACAGGTTGTCCTCCAGGGGAGGAAGGAACCGTGCCTGCTCAGGCACAAAGGCATAATTGGTCTCACCCTGGCTGGGCCCAGGAGAGACCGCTGTGCCCACCAGTGTGCTGTTGATGGAGCAGACTTCAAAGTCATCCTCATCTTGGGCCACATCATCGTAGGCGGGAGGTGGCGGCAGTGGGCGTGCATCCCAGTCCACCACAGGCGTGGGGTGCAGGGGCCGGGGCAGTGCCCGTGTGGGGCTTTGAGGCGGTGTCTTGTCCAACAAGGAGCAGGCATCCATGGCCAGCTGCGCCAGTGAGGGTGCGCAAGGCCGTGGGGATGGGACCACAGGCTCCTCACCGAAGTCGATGAGTGTGACCTCGCTGCCACCGCCACCACGGCCTGTCTTGGTGCCCGACACCCGGGCTGAGGGCTTTGCCAGCCACAGCCCACGGGGCAAGCCTGGCTTCCTCAGACCCAGCCTCTTGAATTCGCTGGACAAGGGGTCTTGGTCCTCGCTCACAGGATCATAGGTTGGTTCTGCAATGGAAGGGTGACCCGGACAGGGAGGCAGTGTCAGGCAGAGGGACAGAGATGGTGGGGTGTGGGAGGAAAGCCAAGTGTCCCCCACAAACTCCCCTAGAGATCAGCTCTCAGGCTGCCAAATTCTCAGTGCACAACAACCCCATTCAAGCAAGAGGGCAAAACCTGCTCTGGATGCTGTCAGCCCTCTTCATGGGCGGGCGAGCCCGCCTCCAACTCGGCTAGAGCAAGCGACACTCCCACACCCCCCTGCCTCTGATGCCCCTCCACTGACACAAGACCCCAAGTGCCCTGCCCCTGGTTAGTAACCCCTCTCCCGCCCCATTAGAGCACACCATTAGTGCAGGCAGGGGCTATGGGCCACCTCCCATCAAGAGCAACAGGAGCTCCTGACCCACCATCAGGAAAAGTCCAGCCTCTGCAGGTCCCAAAGGGAATGAGGCAGGCCAGGCAAGGGAGGAGAGCAGAGTGGACACCAGGACCACACATTTGCCCCAGAAGCCCAGGTTTCTTTTCAGGGGTGGGGGGATTACTGCTGAAAGGAGGAAGGCATGCTGTCCTGGGTCAGCAGCAAAAGCTCACAGCACACACCCGCTTCTCCTCCCACCCAGTCAGCCACCAGGGCTCTTGTACCTTCCAGGAGAGGAGGGATGAGAGGAGAGAGGGAGAGGGAGCGGGGGCCAAGGCGCCGAGAGCAGCCCCACTTACTCTGAGTGAAGATGGCAGGCTGAGGTGGGCGAGGTGGAGGCTCCCCTGCAGGAAGGGCCATGCAGAGAGTAGAGAGGGGCAGAGCAGGACAGACAGAGGACAAAGGAGGAAGACAGAGCCAGACAGAGGGCAGAGGGTGGAGAGAGAGAGAGAGAGAGAGAGAGAGAGAAAGCGCCGTGAATAGGGGTGAGTGAATGTACAAACCCAAGAGCAATGGGAAGCAATGGGGCGGCAGGATGGGGAAAACCATGTTCCGGAACAACAGGCCCAGGATCCAGGGGGTGGATGAGGCTCCTGGCCAAGATGAAGCCCGTGGGGTGGTTTTGGCTCAGGAGAGGAGAGCGGGATTAGAGTGTGTGAGGAAGGCCAGGCTCTGAGCATGGCGAGGAGGAGGAGGGTGAAGAGAGCACAGCAGGCAACGCAGACCGGCCGAGGATGCCCACCTCGGCAGACACAGCTGCCTCTCATCTTCCACCCCACACCCAGCCGGAGCCAGGGACCCAACTGTCACAGAGCCAGAACAGCCAGCTCAGGGCTGGCCTCAGAAGATAGTACCCCTGGGAAGCCAATAAATGAGAGATGCTAGGGAGTGGGGGGCTTACTTTTCACCCTTCCCAGATGCTGGGTGGGGTGGGAGGTACTCAGTTCCACGCTCAGCAGGTCAGGAGGGTCCATAGGGTTTCCCAGATACAGTCTGTAGGGAGAGAACCAGGTCAGGTGGGGAACAAGTGCGGAGTGGTGGCAGTGAGGCCTGTCCCCTGGGGTCAGGCATCCAGGGGACCACCTCGACCAAGCCCCTTGCAGATATGGGTCTGGAGTACAGGACTTCAAACTCCCAGAAGCTGAGCTGAAACCAGGGGAGGGTGCTGTGGAGAGAGGGCAAGGAAAAGACTCCTGGCTGTCAGTCAAAAGTCTAGGGCCATAGGGGCTCCAAGAACACCCTACAAGGGCAGAGCTGGCCCTCTGCATCCCCCACAGCTCCCCAACCCACGCCCAGCAGCCACCTGCTGGCACACTCTCTTCTCTCCTGCCAGGCTAGAGGCATCCGGCTATACTCCCCGGTCAGGGTGGGCAGGAGACATCCTTCTGCCCCACTGCCAGGGGCGGGGCCACCGCCCTGCTCCCAGTTCACCCTCAACCCCTGTGCTGACTGTCAGGATCTGGGACTTAGTCACTGTGACCGATCAAAGCCTGGAGGAATGGGGCTAGGCTGGTCACAGCACGTAAGGAGCAGGGCAGAGGCACCCAGCCTCCTTCTGCGGGTGTCATGCTCTCCCGCCCCAACTCTCTCAGGGCCTCACCTGGCTCTTGGGAGGGCAGACACACACAGCCACCCTCCCAGGGCCTAGTGCTCTGGGTGTGAGAGGGTGGGAGGGAGCATGGAGGTGAAGGGCCTGCTTCACCACGGCCCTCAGGGCAGAAACATGTCAGAAGTCAGAAGAGCAAGGGTTGTTGAGAGCAGGGGCCTGGAAGACCCTGGGGCCAGCAGAGAGGCCTGGAGGCCTGGTATGAGGGGCTTCCAGGTAGAACCCTGGGGCGGGGCACCCAGGAAGTGACTCATTCTTCTCCTCCCCAAATGCCCCCTAGTGACCTTATCCTTTCACTTAAGGAGACTGAACTCTCCTCTCAGGTAGAGTGAGCAGGCAGACAAAGCAATGAAGTTCCCCACAGGGAGCTCTCTGTGCCTTGCACCCCTGGGCCTGACCTGGGAGGTTCCCACCTCCCAGACTCTGCTACTCCTGAGAACAGCTTTCCCACCAAACTGTTCTCAGGGCCACTTTCCTAGGCCACTGTGCCAGCAGACTTAAGGCTGTGCTCCTGGGGCCTTCCACCAAATGAAGTGTGGATCCACCCCTTGAAGCTCCTAGCCCTGATTCACAGGGACAGGCTGCTGGGCATCGAGAGGCCCTCTGCCCCATGGCTATGACAGGGACCTTGGAAGCATGAAAGAACCTGCATGCCCCGGGAGGTTCATGGGGGGGGGGGGGGGGGTGTCCAGAGCCCCAGGTGGGGCCCTGTCCAGTACTCACTCATCGATCTTGTCAGGGAAGCCCCAGCAATGGCGGGGATCACTGTCGCCATGACCCGTGTGAATGAAGCTATTCTGCAGGGGCTGGCTGATGTCCTGGGCCGACAGGCCAGCCACGGAGGTCACCACGTTTCGAGGGAAGGGCCCCACACACAGCGTCCGTGTGTTCTGCCCGCGCCACCAGTAATTCTCAGCCCTGCCCAAAAGAGATGCCACGGTAAACACCAGGGTGGGGTATGACGGCCCCAAGGAGTAGGGCCCTTTCCACATTAAACTCTTTAGCTATGATATCTAACCACCTTGGCAGAAGGACACAGGAGGGCTAAGGCCCCAGGACCAGGCTGGTCTGCCATCAGCCTGCCTCCTACTAGCAGGCCCCCCATGACCACACCCCCAAGTACAGGGCCTGGCTGTTTGCACACAGCCTTACTCTAAGCTCCTAGGTGGGTCAGACAGCTTTCTCTGAAGTTTACAATAACAAAACAGGTTCAAACAAGTGATATGACTGGCCTAGTGACCAGAAAGATCGCAGAAGACCCAGGATTCAAATCCAGTTGTTCGTCTGTAAAGCCTAAGCCCTTCTCACAGTATCACCTTGCCTCCTTCTCCCTGGCAAGGCCTGGGCCTGTGCTTTTCTGGACACCCAATTTCATTCTTCAGCCCAGTTCCAAGAGTTCTGAGCTTCAGGGACCCAAGGGCGCACCATGGCCTTAGCACTGGGCCTGAAGCCAGGCCTTCCAACCACAACCTATCTCCTACATGCAGCTCTTCACACGTTTGGAAGCACTTGGGGCAACTCACGACTGCCTGTCGCCAGGCTCACATCTCCAGTGCCTTCCACCAGTTCCTGGCAGGGCTGTGGGACCCTCACCCTTGACCCATCCACTCCTTGGGAGGAGCTCTACTCCAGTCTTAAATAAGGCATGCAGAAGGGGACCCAGCCTCCCAGTGTGGCTGGACCACCAGCACTTAGCTCTGACCTCAGACACAAAACCTGTTGGGCAGCCTAAGACCCCTGGGGTGGGCTGGGGGAGGGGGCAGGTGGGCAAAAAGAACAGAGTGCCCTCCTGGACACTTGAACACCAATAAGCCAACAGGCCACAAGGCTCCTGCATCTTATGCTGGGCTCACTCACCCAACGATGTGGGCAGAACGTGGGCTGAGGTAGAGGTGGAGCAGCCGCATCCTGCTGTGGTGGACACGTGTGGCACCAAGCTGCATGCTTTGTCAACCCCCACCCGTACGTCGCTATCCACAGCCAGGAGTGTAAACAAAGGTCTCCAAACTTCAGCTAGACCAGAGGGATTGGAGGCTAGGAGGAGGCGATGAGGCTGAGCACTGGACCCTGCTCTGTGAGGCGATACGGCCCACTGGGGCAGTGTAAGCCCCAAACAGCGTCTCCCAGAGACCGGAAGCCGTATCCCACAAGCACAGCTGCCCTTGGGAAGCTAAGTGGTGAGGCAAGGGAGGGATAGGAGTCCGACCTCCTTGTAAACAAGGCCACTGACCGCCCCACCACAGACACAGCAACCCTGTGATTACCACCCTGCCCTCTGGGTAGGAAGGGCAGGAAAGGAAGGAAGACATGAGGACAACACCCAGGAAGGGACAAAGCCCATCTGAAAATAGCAGGGCCATTCCAAGGAGAAAAATGCCCCCCTCTCCAGGACCAACTGAGCTTGAGGGCCGCCTGTGAAATGGGTGGGAGGCATGTCTGGCCCTGGGGCCCCGCTACTGCTCACCCGCAACCTTCATGGGCTCCCTGGGTTCTGCGTGTCCCTCCACAGACTCTTAGACACCAACCCCAGGGCTGAAGGTTGGACTCTGCTCTCTACATCTCTTCAGAGGTGCTCATTAATTTGGGTAAGAAACACAGCTGAGGGAGAGATGCACACAGTAGGATTAACTCCTGTCCAAGGCCATGACCATGCCCTCCTTGTGCGGCCCTGAGCAAAGCCAGACTGACAGGCTACTCTCTCCACTCCTTTCCTTTTGCGAACACAGCCAAGCTCCTTCCACAGGAGCCTCAGTTGGACTCCTGAGATCAAGAGTGGTGCCCAGCCCACCTCCCTTCATTACAGGTCAGGTATGGCCAAGGTGAGAGCCCTCATGACTGCTGGGGGTCCTGACACCACTCCTCAAAAACGCCTTGTTCCTGGGAGGGGGCGTCAGAGTGGAGTGTGTGTGCAAGAAAGAGGCCTCTTAGGAACCACACCTCAAGCACATCAGTGACAAGGCTCAAATGAACTCCTGAGATAGCCAATGAGTTGGTCAATGCTGCATCACACTGTCCACTTGTCCCTCTGAGGCTCGGTGGGGCTGAGGTACCAGTAGCCCAGAGAGGACGAAGCCCAGTCCTTCCCTTCAGCCTGCTCTGGCCACACCCTCTCTTCCCCTCCGCCCACAGGCCAGTTTCCATGGCAACAACAGGAGGCCAGGCCCAACACGTCATGGGCAGTCACTGTAGCAAAGACAGACACAGACACAGACAGGGAGTCCCTAAGGGAGTGGCAAAAGGGCCCAGTACCTCCAGCAAGAACTTTCTACTTCCTACTTCCTGTCAGTATCCTAGGACAAGCAAAACGTGAAGCAGCACCTGGGAAACCAAGGTCTGGACTAAGAACTCCCTAAGGTGGCCCCAGCCCATTGAGAACCAGCCTCTGAAATCTCAGCCCCTGTCCCAGTCCAGGAATGGCTGACAAATGTTGTTTAAACGTTCTGTTCAATATTCTACTCCACCCACTGCTCTCTGGGTGTCCCAGGAGCCCCTGGCCTCAAGGAATGACAGACCCTTTCCTCCCCCTGCCCCACATACTAAGGAATCGGAGGCTCCAGGGACCAGGCCAGGCCAAGGACCCGCAGAAGGATTTCAAATCTCTGTCCCCCTTCCCCAATTCTGTAAACACAGAACAGAAAAGTGCTGCCAGCCGTCCCAGCCTCTGAATGAGACCCCTGGACAAGGGCAGTCATTGTCTGTCCCAATATACACCGAGCTCCACAAGCATGGCTCATACAATATCGAGGTGTCTCTCTGCCCACTGCCCTGTACCCCAAGAATCACTGAGCATACAGAATCAGTCAGAGCCAAGGACAAGGGGGTTCCAGAATCTGGACTAGGAAACAAACACTGGAGACAGCTTCCAGCAGAAGGAATCCAAGACTGACAGAAGAGGGCAGGTACTGAGAGCTGAGAGCCAGGCTAAGAGGAGCAGAAACAGCCACAACCCACACAAACAAATGCAGACCCAAAGGGACGCACATAAACAGAGAGCTCTCCACCCAGACACATGGAGAAAGAGCCAAACGAACAGAGATTCAGGCACCGAGAAAACAAGGGAGCAGAGTTAGAACTCTGGTGCCACTGACACACAGGCCCACTCCCCAAACCCACCGGTCATCATGGCCTCCTGCCTCCCACCTCCCACCTCCTGAGAAGCTCCAGGGACCAAGGGCAGGCACTGTGGTCCAAGCTGGCTGGTGGCCCTGGAGGAAGAACCCAGCGAGCCTACGCTGGCGGCAGCAGGGAGTCTGTGACAGAAGGGCAGGACATGCCCACAGCAGCCTCCAGGAAGGCGCAACCCCCAACCCCTTCCCTCCCCGCTTTCCCCAGATGTGACCCAGGGTGCCAGCTCCAGAGACACACGCTTCAGAAAGATAAAGAGCTCCTGAGTCACCCCAAGGAATACTGGGCCCTGGTGCACAGAACCCCCACTGAGAGCAAGGGAGGGGGAACGAGAACCTGGCATAGAGGGGTCAGAGTCCTAGGTTCCTGGAGGTAGGAATGGTTGTAGGCTCAAACGTCTGGCTTGCGATGCTACCATGTACCTCCAGGGGTCCCTCATCCTAATCTTCCTATTTCCAGAAAGTTCCCCAAAGTGCCAGGCCTACAGTCCCCTCCCCCTGGCCCCTCAGGCCTCTATCCTAGAAGCTTTCTGCTTTCATCCACTGCACTGACCTGTTGGTATATAATTCTCATTCCCAGATAAGAATTACTGTGCCCAAAGGCGAGGGGAGCCCTGGCCGAGGGAAGAGGTACTGGGGCCACAGCAGGTACAGGTCATGCTTCCTCCACGACCAGCCTGGGTTCCAGCACCAACTCCATCATTGACTCAGATCCAGAGGCTGTCACCAACCCCCAAGGTCACAAGGTTTAACCAAAGGCCCAGACCTCCAAGCCCGACATCCAGGGAGAAAGGGCTCAGCAGGGAACAGCCTCTGCCCTCATCACTGCCTGGCTCTGAATCAGAGGAGCTTGAACCACCAGGAATTTCCTCTTCCTCCCTCCCTTCCTGGCCCTCCATGCCCACCGCCTACCCCAAAGGCACCTCGAGCCTGCCCTGCCCCAAACAATTCCTCAGATACTCTGAGGCTTGGACAGCAAAGGGTGGGGTGAGTGGTAGACAGGGCTCCAGACAGGACCCTGCGGGGCTGCAGGCAGGAAATGTGACTCAGGAGATGCTGTCCACAAGCAGAGACACATGCTTCCAGGTGTGAAGGGGCCTGAAGGGTCAGGAATGGAGGCCCTGAGAGGGAGCCTGAGGACAGAGAGGCCAGGGTGAAGGGCCCAGCAGAGGGTGGAGGGGAGCTCTGGGAGGGAGCAGTGGGGTTCGGTGGGATGTTGGAGGCTGCTAGGAAGAGGGTAGGGCTGCTCTGGGGTACTGAAATGCACCCAGGTGAGTAGTCCTTACCCTTCCCTAGCTGGGTGGCTCAGTTGGTTGGAGCACTGTCCAGTACACCAAGGTGGTGGGTTTGATTGTGGGTCAGGGCACATATCTAGATTGTAGGTTTGATCTCTAGTTGGGGCACATGTGGGAGGCAACTAATCGATGTTTCTCTCTCTCTTTCTCTCCAAAATCAATGAACATATCCTCCAGTAAGGATTAAAAAAAAATGAGACCTTATCCTGGGAGGAGGTGGGAAGGGAAGGGGAGAGGAGGATTAGAGGAGGAATGTTTAGGCGTTCCAGAGTCTCCAATGTGGCCGAGGTCTGGCTGCCTCACCATCATGGCAGTTAGGCTCTGACCCACACAGCTAAGGCTGGGCCAAGTGGGAAGAGGGTGGCAGAGGCGGCACGAGGCAGGGAAATCCCTCTGAGCAGCGCACCTACACACTTAACCCCAAGCACCCAGGTGCAGAAGCGGCTGTCTTCCTGCAGTTGCACAGCTCAGGACCACCACAGCCGGTGTGTCGCCATGGGGACCTTGGAGGCAGGACCTTGGAGGACCTCTTAACCATCAGGCCCTCCACCCTGTGCCCTCCAAGGCAGTGCAGGTGCAGCCCATGCTGCCTACCTCCCCTCAATGACGGTGATGACATCATTCATCTGGATGTGCAGCTTGTCCGGTTCCTCAAAGTCCTGAAGGGCCCGCATGTCAGTGGGCTGGGCCTGAGGGTAGAGACGGGTCACTCCCCACTCTGGGCCTGACCCCTGTTTGGCTACCCCAGCCCCCCAGGGCAAACCTGCCCTTACCTCCAACAGGAAGTCCCGCAGGGCCACAAAGGTGGGTCTGTCCTCTGGTTTGTGAGCCCAGCACTGGACCATAACATTGTAGATGTCTTGGGGGCAGTCCTCGGGCCGGGGAAGACGCTCCCCTTCCTTGTCAATCTTATGCAGGATCTGGAGAGGGGATGCAGTCTGAGTACAAGCAGAGCACCCAGATCTTCGCTCCCCACCCTCCCTCCAACCCACAGAACAGCTGGAGCTTCAGGCTGCCATGCTCACACCCCAAAGAAGAGGTCTGCCTCTTCGGGGAGCACAGCCTATCCCCAGCCTCAGACCTTTATCCCCATGCCTGGGGCCTCTGGACAGGTGGCTGTGGCAAGGGCTAAGAATAGGAGCAAGCCCTACCCGTCCCCCTCCTGACCACTTTTCTTTGCTCAGTTATCTGAGAGGTCACAGACATGGAGCCTGGGGGACAGGACTCCAGGAGATAAAAGTCAGTTCTAATAGGCAGATTGGGAGCCAGGAATCAAATCAACCCCTTCCCACCCAACAGGGAGCACATCCCCAGTCCCCTCACCTGACTGCCATTAAGGCCAATCCAGGGCTCCTGGCCATAGGTGAACATCTCCCACAGCGTCACCCCAAACATCCAAGTGTCGCTGGCATGGGAGAAGGTGCGTGTCTTCAGGCTTTCAGGGGCACACCTGGCAAAGGCAGGGGTCAAACAGAAGGCCTCTCAGAGCATCCCCCCTCACTGCAGCCCCAATGGACACAAGATGCTCACTCAACAAGCATGCTGTTGCCCCATGTGCCAGGCTCAACCACAGATACTACGGACATGGTATGAGGGGCAGCAGGACGTCTTGACTATGCAGCACAGTCTTGGAGCAAACAATGAACGCTTGGGTCTTTTACCCACACGCAGCCTGGAGTGAGGAGAGGGTGAAGCTGCCCTTCAGTAGGGTCAGGAAAGCAGGGACATGAAGGTCAGAGGCTCCAGGAGGGGCAAGGGAAGAGAGACAGAGCTCAGGCTGTTTTCTAATTGTGGGGGAAGGATGACAATTTCCAGATTCTGGGCAGGATCCTAGCATTTGGCTCATTTCAGCAGGAAGGTGTGGGTGGGAAATTTGGATAGGGCCTGAGGAAGAACCAAAATGGGTGAACACAGTCACACCAGCTTCACCCAAATAGCCGCACATCCCTCTGGGATGCCTTCTTGAGTGAGGAGGACAAACACCACAGCAGTAAGGCTGGCAAAGGAGTATTCCAGTGGGACTGAGGCACAGGGTGAGGAGGAAGCACTTTAGATGAAGAATCAAACGATCTCTCATGGGAATGGAGAGCTAGCCCTGGCACTCAAAGGGACTGGAGTCCAGAGAAAGTTACTCAAGATCTCCAAGGCCACCTAACCCTCATCTGTGAAATGGGAGTAATAATCTGCTCACTTCACTGTTCTAAGGGGACTGCATAAAAACAGGTGGACCTTATGATCTACCATCCAAATAAGGATGCTGGAGTATGAAAGAGGGTGTTATCAATTACTCCAGAACCACAGGCACAGGCAAGGATGCATGGTCCCGTATGGCCCCTCTAAGTATAAAATCAGTTACTAAGTAGGGTGACTGTACATCCTGGATTAGAAGGATTTCCTGGCAAGCTGAACTGGACTGAGTCCTTCCACCCCAAAGCAAGGAGACCACACTCTTTGGGGTGCCTTCGACACCAGAGGACCACACTGGTCTTGGCACAGGATTGGCTCACACAGGGGTCTGCAACCACCGTATGTGCAGCTGAACATCCTTGCTCACAGTCCACACAGCCTAGCCTGGTCTGACCCTGCCTACCACTAGCTCTATCTGGAACATGCTTACCAACCAGTCTTTGCCCGGCTTTCTTCTCCTGATATTCCAGGAGCTCAATACTGATCCCTCCGGGAAGCTTTACAAGACCCTCAGCACTCGTCCCTCTGTACTCTCGTGCACAGCACACACAAATTCCTGGATGAATGAGTTAATGAGGAGGCACACAATAAGGGCACCCCAGGACAAGGACTGCTATGGGTATAAAGGCCCCAGATACTCTGAGCCTCAGTGCAGGGACCAGGGTGGGGTAGGGTGGGGTCCAGGTCCTGTGAGCTGGCAGCACCTGCCCCTCACCAGGCAAAGGGCACCTTGCGATGCTCCTGCATGACATAGTGGTCGTCATTCTGGGGTAGTGCTCGCATCAGCCCGAAGTCCCCAATCTTGACCAGGTCACGTGTGGCCAACAGCAGGTTGCGGGCAGCCAGGTCACGGTGAATAAAACGCTTGGACTCCAGGTAGCCCATGCCCTCAGCCACCTGCACAGCATAGCGGCTCAGAGTACCCAGAAGGAAGTGACCCTGGTGCTTGCGAAGCCGGTCCAACAATGATCCCAGAGGCGCCAGCTCTGTCACCTGGGGCCACAGAAAAGGTGGGAGGAATAAGCATGGCTGAGCTCTGCCCCTCCCTCAGCATCCCATGCTGGGCTCCCAGTCCTCTCCTGAAGGACTGCCAGAGCCATGCTCAATGCTCCCTCCTGGCCTGGCCTCTGGGAACCGCTAGGGGTCCTACAGCTTCCCAAGCCTCTCCCTCTAAGCAATGTGGAAAACTGAGAAGCAACCAAAAGAGGGTCACCTTAGAAATTCCAAACATTAACCTCTAGGACTAGCTCCTCCCAAAGGTGTAACTCTGCCAATGAATACAAGCAAAATGCACAGATGACATGGGCTCCAAAGGACACAGTTCCGGGGCTAGGCCTCTGTGAGCCCCTCTGCCACATCAGATGGGGCCAAAGCAAGATCTGGGGGACCTCTGACCTTTGTCAGGATGAGGGGAATAACCACAGCACAGACAGAAGAAGGGGTGGACCTGGGGTCTAGAGACCACAGCCCCTCCCACACACAGTACTTACTCACCATCTTCATGGGTGGTGTGAGTACCACACCATAGAGGCGAATGAGGTTTCGGTGGTCAAGTGAATGCATGGCATTGACCTCCCGGATGAAGTCGTCCATGGCCTCTGGCTGACTCAGCACATCAGGCTTCAGGCACTTCACAGCCACATTCACCTGCCCGGGGTGGAGATTGTAGGGAGTCAGGACAGGCCCCAGCCCCAACACTCTGAGCCAACCTGCTCCTCCCTTCAGCTAAGCTCAAACATCCTGGCTTCAAATCTGCTATCTGGGTGGGTCAGCATGTCACAGGTGCCTTGGCCTGGCTGGGGAAGGGTAGCTGGCTGACCCCCAGGGAACATTAGCTGGGCCTCCCATTCCTGAGGGAATGCTCAGGTTAAATAGCAACCGTTAGGTAAGAGACGACCAGTATGATGATACAACATTAAAATGTTATAAAATATTCAAAATAGTTTTGGTGCAGATAAAAAGTGCTTTAAATGTAATGCCACGCCTTGGCCGGTTTGGCTCAGCAGTTATCGAGCGTCAGCCCACGGACCAGAGAGTCCCGGGTTTGGTTTCCGCTAAGGGTACATACCTCGGTTGCAGTTTGTCCTGGGCCCAGGTTGGGGTTGTGTGGGTGGCAACCAGTCGATGTGTCTCTCTCACAACGATGTTTCTCTCTCTCTCTCTCTCTCCCACTCTATCTGAAGATAAATGCAAAAATGTCCTCGGGTGAGGATAATAAAAATAAATAAAATTCCAAAACACTAATCTATGGTGACAGAAGTCAGAACAGTGGCCTTCCCTGGAAGAAGGGGATACAAGGTGCAGAGCAGGAGGGCGGCTCCGGCAGGCAGGGAAGGTTCTACATTATAACTGGGCGTGGTTATCTGGGTCTATGCATATGTAAAAATTCACTGAGCTGTACACTCAAGAACTGCATGTTTTTTTTTTTGTTTTTTTGTTTTTTGTTTTAATCCTCATTCGAGGACATTTTTCCATTTTTTGTACAGACAGTGTGGGAGGGAGAGAGAGGAAGAGAGAGGGCAACATCGATGTGAAAGGGACACATCGAGTGGCTGCCACCCGCACGACCAACCAGGGCCGGGGACAAACTGCAACCGAGGTACATGCCCTTAGCGGGAACCGAACGGGGTCTCTCCGGACCGTAGGCGGACGCTCTAACCGCTGAGCCAAACCGGCCAGGGCAAGAACTGCATGTTTTATAGTACATATGCTATCTATACCTCTGGGGAAAATTTTAAATATAATACCAAGAGAAAGGTCAAGATTTGAAAACCTGTATCTAAAATTTGTATCTCAACTAAATTCAACGAAATACCTAAGGGGAAGAACAGGCAGAAATGCTAACTATGCTTTCTCTGAGTGGTGAGATTACAGGTATTTTTTTCCTTTTGTTTTAAAAATAGTTTCCAGCCCTGGCCAGTTTTGCTCAGCACTTAGAGCATTGACCTGTGGTCCAGAGAGACCCGGGTTCGGTTCCTGCTAAGGGCGCGTATCTCAGTTGCAGTTTGTCCCCGGCCCTGGATGGGTCGTGCGGGTGGCAAGCACTCGATGTGTCCCTTTCACGTCGATGTTTCTCTCTCTCTCTGTCTCCCTCCCTCCCTCCCTTCCTCCCTCCCACTCTATCTGAACAAAAAATGGAAAAATGTCCTCAGGCGAGGATAAAAAAATAAATTAAAAAAATAGTTTCCAAACTTTTATTATAAATAAATTAGTTGTAAAATTTAAAAAAGAAACCGATGTGTCTAGTTAAACCTGAGTGTAGAGCCCAGGGCCAGCCACCCTGTGACCTGTCTCCCACCCTAGCCAAGGGGAGAACCCACTTCAGAGGACACGCGGGCCTCTGCCAGGTCTCTTAGGGATCTGTCCCTTTGCCACACCACTCGGGACCCAGAAAGCTCACCGTCTTCCCTGAGGGGGCGTCCCACTCGCCCCTGCGCACCACACCAAAGGAGCCATCTCCGAGCTTCTCGAAGAGATGCAGGTCCTTCTCCCCAATGAGGCAGGTGAGGCTCTGCAGAGGTCCCTCCCCTGCCGGGCCACCAGGGGTGGGCGAGGTCTTCCGGAAGGTGCTCTGAGAGTGATGAGGGGGCAACTCAGCCTCCAGTCGCTTTCCACTGAACACCTGTTTAAAGGCAGCCAGGGGCCAGATGGAACCCAGAGCCAGACACTGAGTCCTGTCCCAGTGGGTCCTCATGTAGGCCTCGATAGGTCCTGGCTTTGACAAACTGCCAGGAGGCAGCCTGGCTGAAGGCCCATGCCCCCTCCTGACCACACACCTGAACCCAGAGCCTCAGTGTGGCCTCAGGTGTTTGCCAGAAATTGACTGACAGGCATGCAACCTGCGGCTACTGTGGCCCCACACTCAGCTGGGGACTCGGGCAGCCAAAGCCACTCCAGGCACCACCTTCTGCTGCACCCCTCCCTTTCTGACCCCCCCTACCCAGAACAGACTCCAGCCCCTAACCAGAGCAGATGGGTAGGAGCCTAAGGGGCCTGCCACAAACACCTCTCTGTCCATTTTTAGCTTTGGCCCCTTCTCTGGGCTGCCCATTTGGCGCTGTCTGTCTCCACCCTCCCCAGGGAACCGGCTGCCCTTCATCCTGCCAGGAGAGAGGATAATTTGAGCCTGAGGTTAGACTGTGAGTGTGTGTGGGGTGCAGATGAAGCAAGGCCTTGCTGGGGAAGGGCCTGGGAAGACAGCTGGGTTTCTGGAGGGGCGCCTAGAGCTGAGGACTAAGAAAGAAGGAAGATTAGAAAGAACTCTGCAGCCTGGGCTGGAGAGGAAAGGGAACAAAGGTCAGGGGACAGGAGGAAGGAGGCCCTGAGGGTCAGAGCTGGCCCATCAGTTTGACTTGGCCACCCCTACTAGGGCATCCGAAGCCTTGGCTTCAGGCTGCAGAGCTTGCCCAGCTGGGCCCCTGCCCCCAAGGCTGGCAGAACCTTATCTGTACGGACAGTCTCCAATCTAAGGGCCTCTTCTGGACGCTGCTCTGTCCTTCCTCCCAGTAACTGGAATCCCTGACGTTTGCAAACAGTACTCAGCTGACAAGGACCCTCCACAGTGCAGCACCGTCTTACTGAAGACATGCCACCAGTCTGGAGCTTCAATGACTGGCCTAGGAACTTCCTGTAAGTCTGTGGGAGACCCAAGACCCCTGAAACCTGGCACACTGCACAGCTCTTCCCTCCTGCCTTCACCCGCCCCAACATGCTCATTCTTCCCTAAAACCTGGGCAAGAGACCAGGAGAGTGTCCCCAGAAAAGGCCATAGGATCCCAAGAGACAACCCCTTTGCCAGATTGCAGCCAGGAAATCTCTGCTGCCCAATCCCAGTCCAGCTGCACTGTGCTGCCCTGCCCTCCCCTCACCCCAGCCTGAGGCCAGCAGTGGGGAGGGAAGGCCCTGGCTGGTTCATTTCCTCCCACATTGTCTTCCAGACAATGGGCAAAGTTCCACCGAGTCAGACCAGGGACTCACCACTCCACAGACCCAAATTAGGATGGGAGGTGGGGGCTGTAAGGAAAGAAGCTGTCAGAAAGGCCAGATGACCAAAGAAATCCTCCACAGCCAGAGGAGGGTGGGGGAGGAGGGAAGCAAAGCAAAAATGTCCTGGGTCCAGACAGTCCACCCATGCTTGACACCAGCCCCAATACTAAGAGAGAACAAGGGCTCGAGTGACAGTGTACTTGTCAGTCAGTGCCTGCTCCAGGCCCAGCACCATCGCACAGTGGTGAGGATGTGAAGCCACGGCTCCGCACGGGCTCCTCACGTGCCGTCTCTACAGGACACAGACACAGCCAGGCAGCTCTACAGGTTCCCTGCCCGATAAGACCCTGGAGGATGGAGGTCTGCACAACGTGTGAGATGATACTGCCCAGGAATGGGGGGGTTTCCTAGGACTGCATCGGAGTGGAGCTCCACGAGGTTCCCCGCCCCAATCACTCCTCGCCCACCCACCTTGCTCATCCAGGACTTGCGCTTGCACATGGCCTTTCTCCTCTTCACAGCCTCCCACAGCCGCCGTTGGCCTGTTGGGGGGACAGAAAACCCAGTGCTGTTAAGGCTCACCCCCCCCCCACAACCCTCCCAGAGAGGTTGCTGCCCACCTGCAGGCTTCCTCGGTCTCCTGAGATAGGTGCATCACTAGATACTGCCCAGCACAATGACATCAAGGAAACAAACCATCCCAACTAACCAGGGGCTGCAACTATCAGATGGTCACTGCATTCCACTTCCAGGTAGTGGTTCTTGAACTGGATGGAGGTGTTTAACCACCAAAACTGAACAGCAGTTCTCTGTTCCCAACTTTCAAGAACAAAGGAAATCAAGGTAATAAATACAATTTCCCCAATTTTGAATTTTCTCCCATAAAATCTGATTGTGTGACTGGCATCAAACACCAACTATCCAGGCCAAATGTAGCCTAAGTCAATGTCTAATTCAGTACACTATTACTTAATTAGCTACTTGAAGTAGAATGCACAAATACGTTTCTATGTTCTATAAGGTACACCATGAGTTCTAAGTGCAGTAACCACTCCGTTTATAGGATTAATACATAAGAAAGAAGGAGTACATCTGATACAGCAGATCTTTGTGAGAGAGAAAGAGACGGATCAAGAGAAAATCAACAAGCTGTCTGAGGGTTATCTTCCGTTCCTCATACAGATCTCTGGACATCGAACCCCTAGTGTTCAAAATGGTGAATAGAACAAACTCCATTCTACACATATAAAGGAGGAGGAGATGGAGGAAATACATCTTACAAATGTCTGAACAAACTACAGGGGTGATAGCTAGTGCTGAGTAGCCAGAGCTTTAGGTGAGACTCCTCAAAGTTCAATTCACCTTTACAAGTGCAAACTGTTATCATGCATTCACTGTGTGTGGCATCTACTGAGGCCCCTCTACCCCACCTCGGGGGCTCTGGACAGGCAGGGAGAGTTCTCAGCCATGCCACCCCATGGAATAAAGGGGGAAGGGTTCTTCCATGTGACTGGCAACCCTGATGACAGAGAAGGCAGATAGTCAATGGGCAAACAACGAGCACGCCAATGCCCCCAACCTACCAGGCCGGCCCATGCCAATCTTCTCCAGGTCCTCATTCTTGACATACTCAAAGTGGGACAGGCGGGTAACATTGAGGTCGTCGCGGAGCCGCAGGAAGTACTGTTGCAGCTGCACCTCGGACAGCAGCTCCAGCAGCCAGCCTGTGCCCTCCTCTGGCTGCATGCTGCTGCTCCCCAGCCTCTGTGGGGAAGAAAGAATCAATCAGGGACCAAGGGATGCAGGAGGTAAAAAGAGGACCTTGTCCGAATGCCCTGGGCTCACCACCCACATCCTACTATGCTGCTTTTCCATGAAGGACTCAAATAACCTTCTTGCTCCTCAAAACAGCTGTACAGAATAGCCTCTGCTAAGCCAAACTATCTAGGGTGAAATACACATTCTTAATCATAAAGCTTCCATTTAAAAATTAGGGTCACAGTGTCCCTTGAGACTCATCCATGGGATCTCCAGACCTGATGGACCCCACAGAAAAGACTCAAGACTAGATGAGTCCTCCCAATGCTTGACATAATCAGAGACTCTCCCTCCAATCCAAAGACCTCTCCATACATGTCTCCAGGGCAAGAGCGAGTGGGAGACAGAGGAAGGAGGTGGGCTTTTCAGACCCAGCTCAAAGAGGCAGTACTGTTCAGCTCCTATAAATGGTTACCATAATACACTGTAGACCAGTGTTGTCAAAACTTTCCATTTTTGCCCTAGCCAATGTGGTCAGTGGTTAGAACGCTGGCCTGTGCACCAAAGCGTCACTGGTTCAATTCCCAGTCAAAGGCACGTACCTGGGTTGCAAGTGTGACCCCCAACCTTGGTCAGGGAGTGTGTGGGAGATAGTCAATCATGTGTCTCCTCACATCGATGTTTCTCTTTCTTTCTCTCCACCCCCTTCCACTCTCTCTAAAATTCAATGGAAAAAATATCCTCAGCCCTGGCCGGTTTTGCTTAGTGGTTAGAGCGTCCGCACATGGACCAAACAGTCACGGGTTCGATTCTGGTCAAGGGCACGTACCTTGGTTGCGTTTCAATCCCTGGCCCTGGTCAGGTCGTGCAGGAGGCAACCAATCAATGTAGCTCTCTCATGTCAATGTTTCTCTTTCTCTCCCCCCGCCCCCATCTGAAGATAAATGAAAAGATATCCTTGGGTAAGGATTAAAAAAAATTTTTTTAATTCCTCAGGTGAGGATAACCTGTTCTCCCTACCCTCAAAACACCAATTTTTTCAAGAAAAATGTCTATGTGAAATCTTGCCATTAAAAATGTTTGAAAAGCCCTGGCCAGTTTGGCTCAGCGGTTAGAGCGTCGGCCTGCGGTCCGAAGAGACCCGGGTTCGGTTCCCGCTAAGGGCACGTACCTCGGTTGCAGTTTGTCCCCGGCCCTGGTCGGTCGTGCGGGTGGCAGCCACTCGATGTGTCCCTTTCACGTCGATGCTTCTCTCTCTCTCTCCCTTCCTCTCTCTCCCTCTCACTCCATCTGTACAAAAAATGGAAAAATATCCTCAGGTGAGGATAAAAAAAAAAAAAAAAATGTTTGAAAAGGTAATATATGCACATAAGATATCCAAAAAGCACACAAGAGCCATAGTCCCATTCCTTCCCCTATTGCACGCTACCTCCCCATCCCCAAAGCCAGATGCCAGTAATGACTTTTCCCACCCTTCCAGACTCTTTCCCCACACAAATACTCACTCATTCCCTCCACCACTCTGTTCCTTGTTTTCACTTACATTATCTTTCTTCTGACTTTTTAACTATGTCAACTAATTCAAGTTTGAAATACACACACACACATACACACACTCTGTATTGGTCAAACACATGTGTGCAGGCCGAAATAAGCCAAAGGCCCACCAGTAAGTGACCTCTGATCTACACTTTCTTGGGCCCATAGAAAAAGGTCAGTGGCACCCTCAAAGCTAAGCAACCTGACCCACCGGCACCAGACCCTGTCCAAGTAAAACACCCCAGAGCTTTGGGCTTGGCCAGGCCAGCCCTTGGCCCATGTTTAATCCCCATGAAGGAAGCAGGCAAGAGGAAAAAGGTCAGGTGCCCAAGACCCCCACCTCCTCCCCAAATCAGAGGTGGCCTTGTTCCCCAGCTCTCCTCATAGGTCGCACTAAGAAGCAGGTGCTCGCAGCCCAGGCCCAGCGTAAGCCTCCTGCCCCCACAGTTCCCAGAGGTGCTGCCAACCCAGTGCCAGGAGTTCAGACTTTCCCAGGCAGCTCAGGACAGTACAAAGAGAGACAAATGAGAATGAGAAGACCTCAGTTCAAACCCTGACTCTCCCGCCAAGGCAGCTGGGCCAGAGGGGGTTTCCAAACTTTAAGCTGTAACCCTTTACCCAGATGGTTCCCATAAAGGATGTACAGCCCCCTAGGGGACATTTTTGGTTGTCACAATGTTGGGGGGCCACTAGTGGCCTTTAGGGGAGATAAGAACATGAGTTACACTGTAACGTACAGGACAGTTTCATACACTGTCCGAAATCCCATACAACTGAATTCATGGAGGTAAAAAATTTGTAATCATCTGAATTTAGAATCGAATTCCATTTTACTTTTGAACAAGAAAGTATTTTTGCAGCTTTAATACATACTAATTTTCCTGAAATGGGAACTATCGTATTGTGTAAACTGGGGGAAAACTGGCCTTTGCTTTGTTCAGAATTTAATCAAAGTTGTTCACTATTCAAAAAAATGTCACTGAAGGAAACCCATCCTTCTTATTTCAAAACTCCCCTCAGTCAGCACTCGTAGATGGTACCTTCATGGTGGTTCTACATGAGGTCTGAATGTCTACTTCATTACGTCAGAGTGTACTGAATTAGTTTCCTTTCATTTCTTTTATATTACAGATGGCATTATGTTTGTTGACTAATTGACTACACACACACGGTAAACAGTTTATATTTCTATTAATTTTAAGAATAACAATAAAAATAACTAACACTTCAACTACACGACTCTATGCGAGGCACAGTGCCAAGCATTTAGCTGTATTAACTCATCCTCAACAAAACCATCTGCTATAAACAAGGGGTGTGGGCTTAAGGAGGAGGGACACCGCTGCTTCCCAGAGAAAGCCCCAAAGGTGCACCTTGAAAATCACTGCCCTCAGCAGTGTCTCTACATGGCTTGGCCCAATGAGGCAGGGCCAGCATTTCCATGGTTACTACCCTGTCCCTGGAGCAAAGTGATCCCACCCCTGACATGGCTCAGCCCCCAGATGGAGCTTGCCACCAGGGCAAGCGGTCCACTCTCCTCTTCTTCCCCAGTCCCCAAATTCCAGGGCTCTAGGCTCCCCATTCCTACCCTCCTCTGAGGCAGGAGGCAGCCACTTCTGAGAACAGCTCAAAGCCATGCCCTGGTTATCAGGTTTAGGGAAGACCCAGAGGCCCCTCCACTGAAAAGCACAGTCCAAACCTGTTCCTTTTCCCTGACATAACAGCTAACATACCTCCCATCTCAGCTGGACAACCCTCCTCCCTGATCCCCAACCCCAGGCAACAGGGCTGCTCTGCGTAAGGGCCATGTGTGGGAAGACAGAGAACACTGGGATCCCAGTGAGAAGACAACAGGCAGGGTCCCAGTCCTGCTTCTACCACCAATCCCAGGGTGACCCTGGACAAGTCCCCTCCCCACCCCTACCTGCCCCTCCAGCCCAAGTTTCTTTGTGAAGCACAGAGCACTGCTGCAGCTGTCCTCTCCTCAGACAATCACTACAGTCACTAGTTCTGCATGTGCCTGGGCCCCAGCACAGCCCAGAGCCCACACACCTGTCTGACACGTGTAGCTCTCGTGGCTGCATACAAAACTTCCCGAATACACCTAACACTCGCCAACAAGAATGCAGCAACCAGAGGGGAGAGGTCACTCAGCCCAGAACCCCCATCAAACTCTCACGGGAGGTGTCCCTCAGCCATTCCCAGTCCTGCTTCTGTCCCTCAGCGGAGTGCTGGCTCTGAGGAGCTGATCCAGCCTCCAGTCAGCCAGCCTGGCCCCAGCCCCCCACTCACTGTGTACAGTCTTCTCCGTAGTCTGGCCAGGAGAGGAAAGGAGAGCTCCAGGCCAGGGAACCGACGAGCTGCTGGCATCTCCACGGAGCTGGACCCCCTGACTGGGTCACTGTGACTCTGGCTTGAGAAGTGGGGGAGCAGGGACCTCAACTCCTGAATTTCAGGTTCTGCCCAGAAGGGAAATTGGCCAGAGGTCTGCCCCAAGAGCCCCGAAAATCCACCAGAGGTGGGAAATAATAGGGCAGGCCCCGGTCTCTGCTGCACAGCTGTTTCTATAGCTGGCTAGTCTGGCAGGGAGCAGGTTCACTATTCTTTTGGCTGGTTGAAGCCTGGGTCCTCTGTCCTGTTTCTCTGTCTTCTCTCCAGTGCAGTGGTCACAGCTCCAGCCCTACTCCCTGGCTCCCCCTCCTGACTGCCCTCCCTCCCTCCCTCCTCCCTCCCTCCCCAGCTGAGCAGCTCTAACACTGGCTGAAAAAAGACCTTTCTGAATCACTGCCAAGAGGGCAGCGGGAATAGGGGGACTCTTCCTCCCAGCCACCCGCACTGCCCCCCCCCCCGCCTCCCCATACACAAGGCCCCCTGTCTCTGGCTTCCACCCCAACCCCCATAGTTGCAGACAACTCCTGGGATTTTAGGGTGGGGGCTTTGTGAATCAAGCAGCAATGTACAAATAATGGTTGCAGGCCTCCATATGGGTTTATCTGGGGCTTGGGAGCTAATACACAGCCTGAGTTAAGGGCTAGGAGCCCAGAGTCATTCCTGGACCCTGCAGGCAGACCCTTTAGAGACCCTCCCCCATCTCCCATTCCCAGCCTTGGCTGGGCGTCTCCTGGCTCAGGCCCTAATGTGGCCCTGTTACCCTGGTGCCCGACGGAAATAGGAGGCCGGCAGCCTGCCAGAGTGGGGCAGTCCGGCCAAGACTGAGAGGGGGTGGAGGGGGTAAGGAATCTCCACCCCCTCCCCTGGGGTTGCCTTGTCTGCTGCCCACAACACCCAGTGTACCTCCTCCCCAAACCAGCTGGCCAAGATCCAAAGTCCCCTTAAAATAAACAAATATACCCCTAGGCCCTGCTGGGATTGCCCCCACCCCAAGCTGTAGGATTCCAGACTATACAATGTCTCTTGTATAGCATCCACACCACACAGACAACAGCCCCAGCTAAAGGGAACTGGAG